AAAAAAAAAAAAAAGGGGGAAAAAAGTCAGACAGAGAGAGTGAGGTTAAAGAATGCTAGTAATTGACTAAATGATTTATGTAACTTGGCAGGTGTGACAGAATTCTATGGTATGGAAAAGGAGTGAGGCAACTCTCCTATTTCAGAAGTGAGAGTAAGTTTTCTGATCACCGGCCAGTCTCTGCCCAATTTTTAGCACAGATTGAGCTGCTGGAATCTACAAACCCAAGGGTTATTGCCCTCAGCAAATTTCTTCCCTCCATACCGCCTCCCAAACAGATGGTAAACTCTCATTAGCAAACATTTTAGTTCCTTGCTGTACCCTAGAGAACTGGTCTAACAACAGATATATATAATCATTATCAAACTGATCTGGATAGAATCAAATTTGGTTTTCAGATAAGAAATTCAGGAGGTTTGTACTTGTGATCTTGAAAACATAACCTTGATGATGCAGGTCAAGGGCGAAACTAATGAAGAAGCAAAATCTACCTTGGCAGCATTGATGGTAAAGGATAGGGAAGAATCGTCACCATGGGTGCGAAATTCATATAGAACAAACATATAGAACAATTACAAGGGAAAGAAAGATACTGGGAGCTCAGCTCTTATGACCAAGCTGGGTATGTAGGGAGATGAAGAAGTAACTTGAATTATCTTGGTCTCCTTCAAGTTCACTTCAATTTTTTTAAAAGAAAAATTCTACACCGTCTATCTGGGTTTAATTGAATTTGTGAATATATGTAGACAAAATAGACAACAAAAGAAAGTTACGCAAAATGTTTTGACATACTTAGAAATTAGAATGGTGAGCATCCTACTATATTTGCTCTGAAATTTACCTGCTGATTTTGCATATCTAAAATTCTACGGTACGGAACATTTTATGTTTCTTGGAAAATTTCAATGGGCCTCATTTACCTGAGGAATGTTGTCCAAGGCCTCCGTATTGTCTTGGAAACATTGAGGGCAGATACAACTTTTCAGCAATTCCTCGCTGAGACGACCATATGACACTTCCAGTCCAGAAGTCTGCTTATTGATGGTCAAAGAAACATAATCACCCGGAAGTGTCCAAAGTTGGTAAAAGATTATTAACAGATATAATAAGATTTAAATACATTCTATATTTCTCAGCAATTGACTTTGACTACATAGCATTGCTTTTGTTGAATCAGAAAAAGGAAATTTAATGATATAATGATAAAGTACAATAACAGCAAATCTTTTGTTAACTTACTATTGTTTACCTTTCTGCTTCTATTTTTTTGGACACCAGGCAAAGCAGTAGTATACAGGAAGTATTTAAAAAATTAATATTAGTGAAGAAATCTTAGCACTTAGAATGTTAATAGGGCATTTTTCATACATTAAAATAATCTGTTATGTCAAAAGTGATAATTTATTTGAAAAGGATATTTAGTCAAATTTTCCAATTCTTTTGTTCCTTTCACCATCATCACCATCACAGCCTTCCTTTTCTCCAGATTTATCAACGTTTGCCGATTCTGCAGACACAATATTATCATTTAAGAATACAGCTCCACTGAAAGAGAGAGAGGGACAAGATGAATTTGAATTAATGCAGGATCTATGGAAAACTGTTGAAAGTACCATTTCCCCTATTGAGATGAAGATATGGATCCTACTAGAACTTGATTTACAGCTTCCATTTTTCTTTTCTTGATTTTGATTGATCGCGATTTGTTAACAGCAAGATTTAAAGCTTAATACACAGGCAAGAAAAAGAGTTTCTCAACTTTGACTAACATTTCAACTGCAGAAAGTAGGTAGGGTTCTCCCTAATATTTGGAAGAATTGTTTTTCACCTGACTTTGAATCTGTTCTGCTGATAGGAATTCTTCTTCTTCGTTGGCTAATTGAGTCATTACTTTGATAAGCCTTTCCTCAATAGATTGGGAAGAAGCTGTGGTATTATCTCCCTCCAGTTCATGGGATCCTTCTGCAAGGAGACCAAGCCATTCAATTTTGCATAAACAGAAGCCTAGTATTTGAAATACATGCGAAGTAGAGAGTAATTTGAAGCAAAGAAAGAACATGGAGCAAGAAGTTGTTCACGACGTCAGTTCAGGTATCCTGTTTAACGATTGACACAATATGTAACTGAATGTAAAAAATGCGAAGAAGTTAAAATGATCATAAGGCTGGAAGGGGACTCACCTGCAGCATTTCCAACAGACTCTATAGCTTTTTTTCTGGACAGTTGATCTTGAAATTTCCTGTGTTTCATTTAGATAAGTACAAAGGAACATAGCATTCCAAAATTATTAACTGGGCACATATTGCACATTTAAGGACAAATTGTGCTAATATTCACATACGAATCTAGAGTAAGAGAAAAAAATCTGTATCAATTGCACAAAGAAACTTGTCATGCTAATGCTTCAATATAGGAGGGGAAAGTTTACCAGTTGATATTTATTTAGCCAATTGTGATAAAGTGTATTGAAAAGCAGAAATAGTAATTGACTCGACATATATTGTCCTTACTCCAATACTCCTTGAAATATGAATTTGTAAACATTAATTTCAATATACAAAATAACATGCCCTTTCCAGTCATCCAATATTAGATAATAGAAGGAACTTTAAAAATGAAAACGGAAAACTAAACTGAGAACAGTTTCCAAACGGGTCCAAGGTCATGTTCAACATGATAAGTGAAAATAGTACCGGAAAAGGGAAGCATATGTGCATGCATTCACGGTGCAAGTGGCTTGCATTAAAATAGAAGACGGACCTGATTTTTTTATTAAGGTCCAAAAGGTGATTGATAAACTGGTCCCTGCATGGCCAATAAGACCTCATCACTTCCATAGTAATCTAAGCCATTGAATTACACTTCACTAAGAATTTTATTCTATTTAAATAGAATGTAAGTACAAAAGATAGACGATTATCAACCTCGTGGCTCCTCCTTCAACCTTTTATGGTCCAGCGGCAGGATTCCATATCCCAGTATGTTTTGAAGAGAATCAAAAGAGTGTGAGAAAACAATACAAGACGGATGCAATTTCATAAATAAGTTACTCAACTCAGTACCTTCAGAGAGTCTAACTCAGATCCAACAGATGCAATTTCACCTTGCAGCACGGAGATTCTTGCCTGGAGTGGATAAATCAAATTTAAGAAGCAAAAGAACAAATAACGGTGATGCAATTATAGAAGTGAAATGTAAGAGAAATAGAAATAGAACTTCGAGAGTCTGAATTGCAGTCTCATTCAAAGACAATTCAACTTCACAGCCTTTAAGCTCTTGTTCAGTGGTTTCTTTGACGCGCTTGACATTTTCGAGCTCCACATTGGCCACTTCCAGCTCAGATCGCAGTTCTTCCATTCTCTTCTTCAAAACAACAACGCTTTGCTCTGCATTGATAAAAATACGAATAAGATTCCTTAAAACTTCTTCACGAAACGAAAGAATTACAAAATTGCATCGTATAGTTCGTCAAATTTCATAATAAATTCTAGTACAATCGCGAATACTTTAATCAGACGATTACTTTTAGGAAACAAGTCTGATCGAACAGAGTAATCATTGCTAGCATTTCGATTACAACATTTTTCAGGGATTTAACAATGCTCAAGCATATAAATACCTCCTCATCGACGTAGATTCTGGTAGAATCGCCAATACTCAATCAGAGATTTGCCTTACCGAAACAAGTTTGATCAAATACAGTAAGAATTGCTAGCATTATGATTCTAATATTTGTTCTTACATAGAAATACCTCCTTATCATCATAAATTCCTCTACAATCACGAATATTCAACAACAAATCTGATCGGAATACGGTATTAAACGCTAGCATTAGAACATTTTCTAAGGATTCAACATCGTTCCTTCATAGAAATACCTCCTTGCGATTTTTCGGCCGCGTATTCGTTAATTAGGGAGAGAAAAAGCTTTTGATTTTCGTTTAGCGCCATGAAGTTTGAGCCCTTGAGTTGCTCTCTAATCATTTTCCTCCAAGTGTATGAAATTTGAGAATCTCGAAAAACACAATAAAATGGAGAAACTAAATGGAACCTATATATTAGAAAGGAAGGTCTAAATAAAAATGATTAAGAAAAAAAAAAAAAACTTGATTTTAATATTAAAATACTATTTTGTTATTTACCGTAGCTCTATCTTTACTCTCTTTTAGTTTAAAATATTGCTGAATTTTAAAAAGTACTTTTCAATTCTATATTCAATAAATTCGAGAATTTTAGAAATGCAGAACCTAATTTATAAGATAATCACGTAATAAAATAAATAAACACTAGACCTTTAAAGAAATTTTACTTCTTTTCTTTTTTTCATATATGGCTAAATTAAATATATATATATATATATACACACACATACACGGGTTAAATGTGACAACTAGAACCCTAAACTTTCTATTTCATCAAATTAGACTAAAACAAAGAATAATAATAATGTAAAACTCTTCGTAAATATTTTAACAATTAAGGTTCGAGCAACACTTCCATTTAACTAATACACAAATTAGCAATAAAAAACTCAAGAGAAGAGATTTTCTTCAAACTACTTTTAAAATTCAAAACTTGAAATTTGAAAGACAAAAATGGGGGAATTTGATGATATAAATCTAAGCTTTAAACCAAGTTATCAAACACATGCAAACAGATAAACAAGCAAAACTGGTTTCATCGTAGAGAACTCTGTTGCGCTGTTTCGCCCAAAGACACTCTTCATTGCCATAGGGATTTCCTCATTTTTTGTCCTCATTGATTGAACAGTATAACTTCAATTCTGTTCAAAGAATAAGCAATAGAAATCAAGAAACCCCACCTTTTCAAATGTCTAATTACGCCTCGCTCGACGTTACCTGAAACGTTAACACAAGCAAACTAGCTTTGAGCTTATAGTCTAATCGTTACTCTCTCGACATTCTATATTTGATGAATTCATATGTGCCAATTAACTATTAAAGTTCAAAAGAAAAACAAATTATTGGCAGTTCTGCAAGAAAGTTTGAAACTTGGGAAGCTAACAAATATCATGGATTTGTCTAAACAAGAAAAAAAAACTATTCATCGAATGTGATGAAGTTCACCATTTAATCCTCAAATTCACCACCATGTTCCAAGAGATAGTTGGCAGCCAATTCCTCGTTTCGGTCACAAGCTAAAAATGCCTCAATGACTTGTTCCCTATCAAACCCCAATGCTTCGAGCTGCAATGCGTGTAGGTGAGAGGAGATGGTAAGCAGACCGATTGTTGCTCGATACTCGGAAGTATATAAGGGCAGATAACTTACTCGTTCAATTGCTTGCTGCTCAGCTGGTGTGACATTGATAGCATGAGGCATGTCTTGCTCAGGCTGATCAAACAGATCCCTGGAAGAAAATGAAAATTAGGAAGTCCTCTAAATTTCAATTGACCAAAAAAAAAAAAAAAAAAATCCTGGCCACAAATGAACTAGAAAACTTGCCCTTCGAAGCCCTCAAGAGGCTCATTTATTAACTGGAGAAACTCTGCTTGATGATCCTGGATTAATCTCAAAAGCTGAGGATTCTGCTTCCCAAGTTCCTGAAGCATTGCCTGAAACAGAAGCCGAGTTAAAAGTTTTAAATATAGCCAAAAGAATGCATAAATTTGAAATCAACGAGAAAGGAAAAAGAATAGCACAGACCTGTAATATTTGTGGATTTGCTTGCACCATAGACCGCAATGCTTGAAACTATAATAGTGTGGATGGTAACAATACATATCAAATTTATCAGCATTAATACAAAAAAAAAGATGCCTAAACAGACCATATCCGAGTAAATATTTAAATATATTTTTTAAAACTTTTCCGTTCAATTGTTTGGAAGGCTATGCTCGAGTCTGACCGAGCATCTTTTCAATTAACAAGACACTTCAAAGGAAAAGCCAAAGCTCAGTAGCTTGGCAGCAAAGATTAATGATATGTTCTGACCTAAACTATTCTTCATAATGACCAGTAAGAAAGTTATCAGAAGGCCGTACGCATTTCCAAACAATAGTCCTACATAAACAAGTAAAACGAGAAAAATTAAAGCATACCTGTGGGTTGTTTCGAAGGAACTCAAGGGATCCAAGGCTACCTCCACCACCAGCAGCGGCAGCAGCAAGGGACTCCTAAAATACTAGCTCTCAGTGAGAATTTAAAAGGAATAAAAAGGACAAAATTTCGACCAAGTACAAACTTTACCTGTGGGAACATATTCAAGGGA